AAGTCTCTACTAAATTTATTTTCAAAGAAAATATAGATGCGCACTGCTTAAATAAGATAAGTGAAACTTGCTTTGCTGTGATGGCTTTTTGTGGTATGCTTGAAAGTAGTTCCCAAGATTAAAAAGGGAACACAGGTTCGATTCCTGTCGAAAAGACATATTTTCTTGAGTAAGGCTTTTGATCTCCGCGAGACATTAAGTTCGCTAGTAAAAAACAAAAAAAAACAAAGCAAAGCTCGATATACAGTGTAACCCGGATGTAAGAGAGTTGTCGGGACCGGAGAAGAAGTCTCTTATATCCGGGTTTCTCTTATATCCGGGTTTGGTCTATTTTATATACATTAACACAGGCTCTAATTTGGGACCTGAGAAAAATCTCTTTTATATCCGGGTTTCTCTTATATCCGGGTCTCTTATATTATTGACCCCTAATACTATATATATATATATATATATTAACCACTAATATTATATATATATATATATATATATATATATATGTGTTCACCACTAATATTATATATATATATATATATATATATATATATATATATATTCACCACTAATATTATATATATATTGACCCCTAATACTATATATATATATATATATTAACCACTAATATATATATATATATATTTGTGTGTGTGTGTTTCACCACTAATATTATATATATATATATATATATATATATATATATATATATATATATTATATATATATATATATATATATATATATATATATATATCTAACATATTTATATTATATGGATAGGAGTTTGGATATTTATATATATATATATCAGACAAACACACGCTTGTGTCTTTAGTTGCATCCTTTAACTTTGGTTTGTACAAATCTACAAACACACACGCTTGCAACTGAATATATATATAAACTATATATGCAACTGAATATGTGTGTGTGTGTGTGTGTGTGTGTGTGTGTGTGTGTGTGTGTGTGTGTGTGTGTGTGTGTGTGAGTATTGGATGTCTTTAAACGTGTGAATATCTGCTGGACTGTATGTCCCTGATAAACGAAATTAAATAGGTTTTACGTTGAATAATAAAAGATCTATTTATCAAAATTCAAACAAGGAATGTGGATTTTATAACCGATTTCGCAAACCAACACAAATGTTCAAAATGCTGACCATCAGTGACACGACAGACGTCAAGTCGGTAGTCCAGCTCCTGCCAAACACGCTGTAGCATGTATTGCGTAACAGTCCAGTGCCTCGGTGATTTTCTACTTAAGTTCTTCTAGGCTTGTAGGAAGAGGTTGTGATACAGACTTATCCTTTAACATAGGACCATAGAAAAAATCTCAAGGTCTCAAGCCAAGTGAATGTGGTAGCCATTTCAATAGCACTTTGTCATCATCACCGGCATACATGTTCCATCTTCCTGGTATCTTTGACATAAATCAGCACAGTCACCTTACTTACTTTTTTTTTTGCACTTTGTTAAATTTGGGAGGATTGGCTATGTTACTAGACAACAAAATGCTGTCATTATTATAGGGACACAATATATAAGTTATGTGCCATGCTAGATACACGACTGACGAGGCAGATAGTTTTTCACGCAGTAGGTTACCATTTCTTTCTGCGGTAAACAAGTTGCCATCCAAGACTATAGAACCCGGTTTATCCTGCTATTTACCCATAGCTGTGGAGGGGAGAAGAGGATTCATACCCTTTCCCAAGGGTATTAGAACGTAAGTGAATGTAATGGATTGGATTAGAATTGGAAGTTGGCTCTCCGTCGGGTGAAAGTGAATTTTAGCGTATTTATTTTTAGATAAACACACAATGACCGACAGGACTCAATTCGCTTTTGCCGAGGAGTCTCGCTATATCAGCCGTAATAGTCACTGTTTACAAACCCACACTTCCTTCCCCAGAGAGCTCAACCGAAAATGATTTTTCAGGAGCCTATATATATATATATATATATATATATAATCGTTAGGCCACCTGACGATTGCGTCTAGCATGAAATAGACTGTCGCCTCTAAGTGTTGCCTTCTATGTTCACTTTTATATTTATACACGCTCTATCTCTGATATTGAGCACTTTATCCCATAAATATAGCACATCTTAAGACTAGTTTTCTTCATATATATATATATATATATATATATATATATGTTAATATCTATATATTTATCTTTCTCAGTCTATTAATATCTATCAGTTTATTAATATCTGTCTTTTTGTCTGTCTATCTACCTCAGTCTATTAATATCAATCTGTCTGTATTTGTCTATATATCTCTATGTGAGTGTGTGTGTGTGTGTGTGTGTGTGTGTGTGTGTGTGTGTGTGTGTGTGTGTGTGTGTGTGTGTGTGTGTGTGTGTGTGTGCGCGCCCGACCGTGTAAACAGTATTGACCCCGTCATCAATACGGGATAGTGGAAGTCTGTTTCATGTTTAGACGTAATTTGTGAACTTACGATATAGAAAAAGAGAGACGAGCATTCAATAAAACATTATGAGGAAAGACGGCTGGTAGAATTTGACACTGGCAGGACATTTTCATAGCAGAAGGGGAAAGAGATACGCAAGAAATAGAGCTACCTTACTTATTTTTGTGGGTGAATTGCAGAGCGAGAAGAAAGACGTGTGGTATGGAGCCGGACATTGCTTACAGCTACAAAGGAAGTTATGGTGAACCCATGAACGTTCACATCCTTTAATGACACGACACAAAGGAGAGAAGAATATATATATATATATATATATATATATATTATTCTCCCCTTTGTGTCGTGTCATTAAAACATGAAAACAATAAACTAAAACTAAAAATTCTTGAAGCTATATACATAAAACAGTTGAAACCTAACCTGAACAAAATAAACTATGAAATCTCCACAAATATTCTTAAATGCCTATAATTCATAACAGAATCCATTGGTTTATACCAATGGTTTCCCATACTTAATACTTCTCGTTTTCACTCCCGCGTGGTCATGTGTGACGTCACGAGCTGCGACGCGATTTGGCATCTTTGATAATGGCTTATGTAAGCCGAAAGCTTAGATTGGATTTAAACATGTATCAATATGGTGATTTCCTTTCATCTTTCAATGATAATGTTATTAAGCTTATCAGACAATATGAAAGGAACTTACTTAAAATAAATAGACCAAACTTTTTTTTCTAGATGATGGTATTATATTAGTGTTGTCAACAAGTATGTTACTACTTCTCATATATATATATATATATATATATATATATATATATATATATATATATATATATATATATTCATTTACGTGCTAATACCCTTCTTCTCTCCCAGCTGTGAATAAATAGCAGGACAGACTGTCAACGTCTCGGAGAAGGACAGCTCTAAATTTAAAACCTGATCCTTCAAGTTGGGGGTTGTGCAGTAGGCTAACAACCTACGAGGAAAAAACTGACTTGTTACAGAATCCGCAACGATATCTTGTTCCTCAAGGAATTTAAAAGCATAATACATACATATATATATATATATATATATATATATATATATATATATATATATATTGACCTCCAAACGCTATAAAAAAAACAGTTGAGAGGTCAATTGATAAAAAAAACTCTTGAGGATACCGTAAGGTAGAAACCAAGGTAGCAATTCAACGGATCTCCTCATTTTTAATATATATATATATATATATATATATATATATATATATATATATATATATATATTAAAGTGAAGATGTTAATAAAACACCAATTAAAATAAAAATGAATACATAAGAGAAGAAATAAAAATAAAAAATAAAAATAAAAGCGAATAAAAACGAATAAAAACAAGTCAAATAAATGAACCCAAATAAATAAACAAATAAACGACTTCCGGTAAAATAACTGCCAAAATAGACTACCCACAATGCACCACTGTTCCGTCTAAAAAAGAAGACCAACACTCGTGGCCTGACGATTGCGTCTAGTATGAAAATGCCTGTCGTCTCTAAGTGTTGACTTCAATGTTCACTTTTATATTTACACACGCTCTATCTATGATATTGAGCACTTTACCCCATAAATATAGCACACCTTAAGACTATATTTCTTCATATATATATTTATATATATATATATATATATATATATATATATGAAAAGAGGATCAATTGATATCAAAAGTTAAGAGAAATGGCCAGCGGTACTGCAGTTTACTTTAATATCCACCAGCCAGTGAGCTATTGGTGTAAATCCTTTTTTGATTATTAATAGATTTCTGATAATAAATGATTGTCTGAGCTTCTTACCGAAAGAGAAAGCAAATGACAAGTTTTACAAACGATAATAAGCGGTTTTCCCGCCTGCCTTTTTTTGATAACGATAAAGGAAAAGAAAGAGAAAGAAAAATGGAAAAAGGCAGACGAGAGGCACGTGTAATCAGATAAAAAGAAATGAGTTTTAAATGAGAGACCAGAATAATAATAATAAAAATAAAAAAAACTCCGTTCGTTTTGCCTTGTTTCGTTGCGTATAATTATTGACGTCTCTTAATTTATAAGGCGACATATACGGAAGTAATAAAACCTTGCAGGAGTTTTTCCAATTAAATCGAGAAAAGTAATTGTCGCCACTGAAAACTGGGAAGACGTCTTTAATGACAAATGGCGGACCAGAAATCCAATACCCAAATGAATGTCAGTATAATAAAACAACTTCACGGAACAATTAAAAGAAAAGTCAAATGAATTAATATATTTAATATCGTATAAGGCATCTACCTCTGGACGTTTAATATTGAAATATTATTTGTTTGAGCTCTGATTGCCTAAAGTGTAAAATTAAACATTCACTGACAAGATACCTTAACCTTGTATATAAATCCCAGTGGCTACTCCTGTTTTTTGTTTCCACAAGAAAAAATCAGGAGTATGGCATATCTCATGACCACGCCGTTGTGTATCGAATCGAATATTGTTCTTTTTTGAAGTGAACAATATTAGAAACTATTTTTTAAAGACATTCGATTAACTTACGGCCATATCACTTTGAAACACCGATTTTCGTCTGATCACCGAAGGTAAAACAACGTCGAGTCTGGTCTGTAGCTAGATGGGTGACCACTTGAGACTACCAGGTGCTGTAAGTCTGGATGTTCGGGTGGTGTAATGGGAAGAAATCAGGGAGCCGAGTTCGAATTCCAGTCGGGTCCAATGCTTTTCTCTTACGCAAATACCCTTGGGCAATCATGAGATCGAAAAGAGACAAGCGTGTCACATCTGCTATTATCAACACGCCAGAGGGTTGGGTAATGTCTCATCCCCACCGCGCCTGCTGGGAATCTGGTGAGAACCTATGTCCAACAAAGGACCTTCATGTTGCGAGAAGTCGAATAGTTTCATTTATTCAGAGGTTAACGTATAATAAGACTCCGGGCAAAAAAAGGACAAAAATACACTCTGTGGAATCGCAAATGTAACTTGTTTTTTTATTCTTAGCTAGAGCAACAAGGCGGACACAATGGATAGAAAAATAGATTTCGTTTGATCTATCTGCACCTTCTTGAAGCAAACACTTATCTCTTTCTAGCATTATCTAGCTAGCTAGCTAGCTATTTTAATTGTTTTGTATCTATTTTATCTTTTTCTGTCTGTCTATCTATCTATCTATCTATCTATATATATATATATATATATATATATATATATATATATATATCAGTCTGTTATCATCTATCTATCTATCTATCTATCTATCTATATATATATATATATATATATATATATATATATATATATATATATATATATATATATATCAACCCATCTATCTATCTCAGTCTGTATCTATCTTGCGGTAAACCCTTATCTCTTTGTACCATTCTCTATCTACCTATGTATCTATGTTAATCTGTTCGTATCTATCTATCTATATATCTATCTATCTATCTCGGTCTGTTCGTCATCTATCTATCTATCTATCGATCTATCTTTTCATATTTATCTAGCTATATTGATATCTATCTATCTATCTATCTATCTATCTCTAGCTATATTTATACTTACACCAAACTTTGTTTCTAGAATAATAAATGTTATTTAAAGTCCATAAAGTTCGTGTGCACTTTAAAAATTTATAACTTTATTTGTATTTGCGATAGAAATAATTTGTAAAAAGGATTAGAAAGAAGTAAATCTATATTTTTTAAGATTTTATTGAAATTTTATTTAAGTTTCCACATGTCCTCCATCATTAGCAATACAAAGGGTAATACGATTTTGGAGTTGACGGAAAACATTTGCCAACTGATTTACAGTAATGCCTGAAATCACATTAGTTATTTTAAGTATACTTAAAACTAGGTTCATTAAACTTTATAAAATATTTTACACATTATTTCTATCGCAAATACAAATAAATCTACAATATTTTAAAGTGCATACGGATTTTATGGACACCATGTACTTTAAATAACATTTATTATTCTAGAAACTACAACAAAGTTTGGTGTAAGCATCGTTGTCTACATAACATTAATTCTTGCGACATAAAGATCACATCCTTAAAGGTCCGTTCATCTCGATTATTTCACAGACTTTTATAGGATATGTGACAAAATAATCCCTACGGATTAAAGAAAAAATGATCTGAAGACAAAACTGATTACGATTGTCATTTCCAGCGTAAAACCAGTCTGCTCATATCTATCTATCTATCTATCTATCTATCTATCTATCTATCTATCTAAGTCTGCTCATATCAATTTATCTATCTATCTCAGTCTGATCATATCTATCTATCTCAGTAGGCTATCTATCTATCTATCTATCTATCTATCTATCTATCTATCTATCTATCTATCTCAGTCTATCTCATATGCTCATATCTATCTATCTATCTATCTATCTATCTATCTATCTATCTATCCCAGTGTGCTCATATCTATCTATCTATCTATCTATCTATCTATCTATCTATCTATCTATCTATCTATCTCAGTCTATCTCTATCTATCTATCTATCTATCTATCTATCTATCTATCTATCTATCTATCCCTGTGTGCGTATCTATCTATCTATCTATCTATCTATCTATCTATCTATCTATCTATCTATCTATCCCTGTGTGCGTATCTATCTATCTATCTATCTATCTATCTATCTATCTATCTATCTATCTATCTAAGTCTGCACATATCTATATATCTATCTCATTCTCTCTTTCTCTCTTATCCACATTTCATTCTCACAAGTTTTGTTAAATTCAACTGACAATTTCTTACTGTTTTTTTCTAATTTCCGTACAACTTATTTTAAATATAAATCTAAAAATTGTCCAAAATTCATATTTTTTGTCTAAATATTATGGTCGAATCGAGCATAATAGTTATTATTAAAAACTAGATGTTGCCATAAAAGAGGCTTTGTTGGCTTATTCCGAGCATTTCGTCGAATTCTACGCTGTCTGGCTCTTTAGTTTCATAGTTATATATATATATATATATATATATATATATATATATATATATAGACCATAGATAGAATAGATAGAATAGATAGATACCATATATATATATATATATATGCGAACAGATCAGAATACATAGATAAAACAGATTGAGATAGATGATATGATAGATAGATATATATATATATATATATATATATATATATATATATATATATATATATATATGTGACAGATCAGAATACATAGATAAAAACAGATTGAGATAGATAGATAGATAGATAGATAGATAGATAGATAGATAGATAGATATATATATATATATATATATATATATATATATATATATGCGAACAGATCAGAATATATAGATAAAACAGATTGAGATAGATAGATAGATAGATAGATAGATAGATAGATAGATAGATAGATAGATAGATAGATATGATACACTTAGATAGATACATAGATAGATAGATAGATAGATAGATAGATAGATAGATAGATAGATAGATATGAGCAGACTTAGATGATAGATTTGATAGATAGATAGATAGATAGATAGATAGATAGATAGATATGATAGATAGATATTAGCAGACTGTGATAGATAGATAGATAGATGTGATAGATAGATAGATAGATAGATAGATAGATATGAGCAGACTTAGATAGATAGATAGATAGATAGATAGATAGATAGATATTAGCAGACTGTGATAGATAGATAGATAGATAGATAGATAGATAGATAGATAGATTATTTTATAACGAAAACCACGCCCGCCTTTAATCATCAGTTCTTCTGTTTTTCTCAGTCTTGAATTTAAAGAAATTTTATATGAAAGAATAGTGTTTGTTTTTGTTTTCTTTCTAGATTAAATGGAAAACAAGTGGAGGGTGAGGGTAAGAGCCGGATTTTCAGTTTGGGAGTTGAACCAAAAAAAAAAATCTATGTCTGCAGCCAAATCAATGTTTTGTATCAATGAGCTGATAGGTTGTGATTTAGTTTGAGAAGTAGAGAAAAAGAAATAACCAAAAGCAATACAGGAGATTAACAGCGCTAAGATAGGTCGAGGTTTTTCATTCTTTTACAAGCTGTTATCTTTTTGTTTTTCTGTTGTAGATTAAGAAAAGAGTCTTGTTCCACTGGTGGAATTACAGTCAAATAGATTTGCCGCTCTATATACCTGTCAGCGTGGAATTGGTTGACAAAAATCCCCTTTAACTTGTTTGGAAAGTACCTAAAACTCATACCAGGGGTTGACCAATGCCTGGTCAGTGAAAGTAGTTCGAAAGTCGTCGAAGGTTTTGCTGGAAAGAAATTACAAGTCCTCACTTAATTGCCAGATCGAAGCTCTTTAACATTGGCGGAAAAATCTATGTCGAGATATTGTCTTAGTAAAAACATTTATTCCCTAGTAGTCAAGGAGATCCATGTTAATATATACCCTCCACCACCACCACCACGAGGGATGTATGTGGCACAAGGCCTAGTTTACCGTGGGTTCTCTAAGCCTGTAGGCTCGGCCAAAAATATTCCCGTAGAACCCGCATAAACGGGTCCGGGCCCGTCTACCGAAGGGCAGTTTCGTCCGGGTTTCTGCTCAAGGCAGAGTGTTCGACAGTAATGAACAGTCTGTATCATTGAACTAAAGGAGATCTATTTTCCTTAACAACGGATACCAACTTAACGGTTTATTAATTTTAATGTCTCTAAACATGGCTAACCTCCATGAGAGCAACGCACTGCTCCCTTTTAATTTGAATTTTTCAATTGACATGGAATGGAATGGCTATATCGAATTAATTTCTAAATCTGAGGCTAGGAAATCTTTCTCGCCAGAATCTTATAAGTCTACAATTTGTCCCTGCATTGAATATTGCTGGCATATGGTTTGTGATTTCTGGGTGTGGTTTGAACACATTACAAGGCACGACAGCCTGTTCAAGACAAGACATCGTTGAAGGTGGACGCAGGAGAGGATGCCAACGCTAAAATATAAATAATAGACATTCTCCTATTTGGATGTGAGACGTGGACATTGTTGGCAGATACAGAGAGAAGGATCAAATGCATGAGAAAACTTCTTGAGATCTACTATTGGGAACATAAATCCAATGGGTCTGTGCGGAAAAGGGTTAAAAGTTTTATTTGACACCAGGAACCTCTTCTTGCCATTTTCAAACGGGGAAAAATGGCGTAGTTTAGACACATTTACAAGGCACGACAGCCTGTGCAATACCATAAAATCTAGTTGGACAATGACAAACAATGGATAGGTATGACTGTATCAGAATTGATGATGGCTGCCGACGATAGACGTGAGTCAACGGGATTATTGTGATGATCATCAATATTATTATTATTATTATATGTTATTTAAATGCTGTTAAGCCGGGCAGCGAACTACTTGACGACGATTTGGCTGGTATTAATCACTCTCCTGACAAGGCAGGATGTGGTGCAAGGCCGATTTTTATGTGGTGCGATTCCGAACGCGTAGGCTCGGCCTAAAATTCCCCTTAGACACCGCATACACTAGGTCGGCCTCCCCAGACGAGACTCTGCCCATAGGCATAGCTTCGCCTGACAAAAATATTTATTGGTGGTATTTTGTTTGGTCAAAAATCTGTTTATGGTAATATATTTCCTTCAATATTGTATTGCTAGTAATA